CCCCCCCCTGCACCCCTCCGGGATGTCCCCCCACGTCAGGGGGGTGCTAAGGGGGGTGCAGCTTCTGGGGTGACGGTGCCTGTTGGAAATGCCGGTCCCGGACAGGACCGGGATGATTTCCCCCAGTTAGACCTCAGCCATCCTCCCGCAGCATCCTCCCCCGTCCCCAAAGCTGTGTCCCCCTCGTGCCGGGTCCCCCCTCGCACCGAAGGTGACAATGCTGCCGGGGAACGCTGAGTCCCCAGCAGAGCTTGGTGCGTGGCTCTTCTGTGAGTTAAGGTCTAGAAATTATCTGCTGCTAATTATTATTATTTCTTGACGTGCTCATGCTGCCTTTCCACCCCGCCATCAGCGTCAGGGGTTGTTTGTGAAGTCGGGTGTGCTGCGCGCGCTGGTGTCGGTGGGCTGCGGTCGCTGGAGGGTGGCAGGGTCAGGAGGAAAGGCCCCGGGGTGCCGGCGTGCTCCCCCTACACGGGCAGCCCTTTGCAGAGGCAGGCGTGAGACCGCCGGGAACACGCGGCCGAACCACGACCCGCTGCTGGGACGTGTGGGGGGAGCAGGCGTGGAGCTTGCACAGCCCCGGGAGCCAGCAAGTGCCTTTATTTACAACACTTGCAGTCTTGGCTGCTTCTCCACATCATGGAAAAAAAAAAAACAACACTCTTCTCCATGTCATAAGATCAGACACTTCTGGGCTGGCTTGTGACTCTAAGAGCTCGCAAGAAGGGGTATGGGACAGGGAGAAACATCAGCCCCGCGGCCCCAGGTGTCGAGAGCCACACGTTTACCGAAACGCGGAAATTTAAGTCGGTCATTTGCCCGCAGATGCCTCCCTTCCTGCACTTGCCCGCTCTCGAGCTCTGCTGCTCAGCCTCGCGGCGCTGCTCACCACGATTTGTGCCCCGTAACACAGCCCTGCTGCTGTGACTGAGTTGCAAGTTCATCCTGAAAGCAGCACCAAAAATCCCCTTTCCTGCAAAAAAGGGGTTAGGGCGGGCAAAAAAAAGATAAGCAGGCACGGCTGCAAGTGCCGTGGCCAGAGCCTGGTCCCGAGGTGTGGGCACCATCCCTGCGTGTCCCTTCCCCTCCCCCGGCTCCATCCACCCACACTCGGCCGCTCGCCATCGCTGCTCGCCGTTCAGCCGTGCTCCCGGTGTGAGAGAGAGCAAGACGCCTTCCCAGAAGATCAGGGCTGAGGCTTGGCCGCCCGCCAGGGCTGGGGTGGTTTTATTTTGGAGATATAGGAGCTATATGTAGCAGCGGGAGCCAGGGAAAGGTCAGGACGCAAAACTTGGGGCTATCAGCGGCGTGGAGGGCGTGCGTACGGTCTGCGGCACAGATCCGACTGCACGAGAGGTGATAGCCATCTTGTAACACAACCGTCGCCGGAAGAAAAACAGCGGCCAGAGTCGAGGACAGGTCCCACGGACCTGCATCAGCGTTCCTCTGAGCATCTGCTGTAGGTGCTGGGGAGGTTTTAGGCACACGGGCCAAATCCTGTCCCCCTTCTCCACAGCCACGAAGCAAAACCTCGTCCCCAGGAGCAGCGTCGGGATTTAAATGCTGTTTTCCTGCCTCTTTGTGATTTCATTTGCTGATGGTAACGCTGCGTGGTTTAATTGCTTAACATGCTTGTAAAACAGGAAAAGAGGAAGAAAAAGACCATACAAAACCCCACCTCACGCTAAGAGCTGAAGCAGAGGCTGCAGCCGGCCCGGCTG